CAATCAGGCATGATTTCTAACTCAAGTTGGAAAACAACTTGAGTTTTCTTCCTCTGAGCCCAGATAGGCATTGTATTCAGGAAAATAATAACTTTTCTTTGAGAAATTATTGATTGTCAAAATATGTCAATTTATTCAAAGAAAGTTTTTAAAAGGTAAGTGTTAGATATTTGGTATTTCACATACATATTCTCTAAAAGCCCTCTGACCAGATTGCAAGCTGAAAGCAAAAGACTATTTTGCATCCAAATTAGCTTTCTCTTCACTTAAGTATTGCTCAAAAATAAAGGTAAACTGTCCAGAGACTTCTTCTTACCTCTGTCCTTTATGGTACTTAACTCTTCCTGAAATTTCTGGGTTTACTTGAAGTGATAATTATCAAATAGTGTATTTATAGTAAAGTTGTCATCATAAACTCTAAAGAAAAAATGTTAAAAGACTGTACGATATAAATTAATGTAAAAAGTAGTCTACTTTTTGTATGCGGTATTTTCAGCATTAGCTTCTAAAACATACATGGTTACAAAGAGTTACTACGACATCCCCCCACAGAAGAGAGTAACAGTAAAACAAAATCTTGGACCAATAACAAACGACACAAGAACAAAAGGGGTGGTATTTTTCTAATCAGAGTGGATACTATGAAATGGTGGAAGACACTAAAAGTAAATTTCACATAAATAAAAGCCTTGAAAGAATTTTCAGTTTGATTCCTTCGCACTTACAGTTTCTGTGCGCTAGTTCCTTGGTCTACAGAACCATGTCGGCCTGTGTCAGGCTAATTTCAGTCCCCATAATAGTAAGTGACCCAGCCCAGGATTCCTTATCAGAAAAGGCAACCCTGAAATGCTTGTTTTCTCATTCAGAGTCAGCAGAGATGACCAATACTTGAGCATCTGCTCTGGCAGGATACCACTTGTAGCTGGGAGAAAGTCTATTGCAATTGTCTTTTAATAAGTTAGACAAATAAAATTGACTATAAATTTTACCAAACTTTGGACAGGACAGGTACCTACTTAAATCTAGTGTTTATCTCTCAAAATAACTAAACATTGAGTACTTACATGGCACTTCTCATTAATAAAAAGATATAAACAATACCATTCCCTTCCTTTTTGGTTGAGGCTTACTAATTTTATGATGATGGAGCACCTTTTCTTTGTCTTTGGCATCCTAATCTGAAAGTCTTAGGAATTTTGTAATAATCCAAAATATAAATTTAAAGACTAGGAAGTAAACTTATGCATACACCCAACCCCCACCACACACACATACACACATGGATACATGTACACATTGATTCAAGGGCTTGTCATTACTGATATAAAATTCTATCTAAGTCACTAGGAAAGTGAGTAAAAATGAAATATAATTTACCCACTTGCCTCACACTTGTGAAATTCTAAGGGTACAAATTGCTCATCTTACAGACCTGTGAAATCTTATATAGGTTCTTATTTTAATACAAAAAGAAATAACTTTCAAGTTCAACCAATATTGTGTGAGGTAGCTCAGTCTCTCACTGACCCAAATCCCCTGATCTACAAGTACCTCGCATTTGAAAAATATGCTTGGACTCGTGGATTCAAAACCAACACCTGAATCTGGAATAAGTGTTCATATACTGCACACTGTTGCATAAGACTCATTTCAACCTTAAATCTGAGCCATAAAGATAGATAGAGAGATAGATAGATAGATAGATAGATAGATAGATAGATAGATAGATGATAGATAGATAGACAGACAGACAATAGATAAATGGATGGATGGGTACATAGAGCATAGTACAAACATACTTAAATATCTCCCTACTTAGAATCCATCATCTGTACACACACACACACACACACACACACACACACACGCAGAAGTAAACCATTTCCTAAACCTGATCTGATCCTTTCCTTTCTTTACTTTATGGCGTTACCACCCATGGGCATCTGTTCGTGAGCGATACACAGCTGAGGTTTAACTGTGTCTACTTTTATTTTTATGAAAATGGAATCATTGTGAGCACATTTGTTGGAGGCTTTCTGCCTTCCCTGAGCATTGTGATCTTGAGCGGTGCCCTGACTCATGTGTGTGGCTCTGGTTCCCTCCCTCCCAAGCTGCAGTCAGTGCACCAGGACACGAATGTTTCAGAATGTAATTATCCTTTCTCCTGCTGAGGGCTATTTGGATTGCTTCCACTATTCGGCTATCAGAAACAACCAAGCCATAAACATTTTCCCAACCATCTCCTGGAACACACATGTCTGGGGGCCTCTGGGGAATCCCTTTCTGAGAGGGGAATTCAGGATCCCAGCAGTCCACGGCGCTTGTACCAATTTATAGTCCCACCAACAGTGCATGAGGTTTCTATTGCGCCAGACCCTTTCAAAGACTGCATTATTGTCAAGCTTTTCTATTTTTTCCCAGTCTGGTGGGTGTGACACAATATCTCATTGTGGATTTAATTTGCGTTTCCCTAATTATGAATCACAATGAATTTATATGTTAAACAAATGAAAGTTTCTTCTAAAACATTTGTTTCTAATAGGGCAGCAATAACTTGATGTTGTGGAATCATGGTTAAGTCCCCGCTTTTTAATATTACCTTAGAGAAAGCCTGTCTCTTTTGTTAGGTGGTCCAGGGTAAGGAAAAGGTGTTTTACTCTTTTTAAAACTGGGAAGATATGAATAGCATTTCTCATCATGAATAAAAATACAGAGGGGTGATACCTACAAACAGTGCCCTAACTTTCCACTTCCCTTTATTCAAAAGGTCCATCAAATATGTGTCAAAATCTCCCTTAAAAAATAAAGAGAGGAAGAAAAGTGAATAATTCCATTCCAATGTGCCAGTGTGTGTGTGTGCGTGTGTGTGTGTGTGTGTGTGTCTATTTGTCCATCATTTTTTTTAACATACTAAGTATTTAAATAACTTGTGGAGCTTACTTATAGGTCTCCTGAATGTGATTTTGTCACTTCTACTGTTGTAAAAATTATTTTTTATCCTTTAAAATAATACATAAGGCACTGGAGTTTGTTTCACACCATTTCTCAATTTGAATAAACTAAACTAGCATCGTACCCATCTGTTCAATTTAACTAATGTTTCTTCAAGGTGTTATTTTCTTTTAACAAATATATGTAGGCATGTTCTTTTTTCTTTCACTTAATTATCTGCTTCACTATGGCAACATTGCACGGAGAATATAGTTGTATTATTCTTATTTACTAAATTTCTTTTCTGTGTTGTCAGGATTTAGTTGATTTTAGATTTATTGTCCAATCACTTTACCCAGTGGTGCTACTTAAATACGAATAGTCATTCTCCAGGTATCTTTATTGCTTTCTTTGTGTTTTTGTAATAATTCTTTGCATTGTCTCTTACTGGTTATCAACTATTTTACTACATAATTTGATGCTACATATATATTTTTTAAAGTAGTAGGCACACATCATAATTTTCTGAATATGTGAACATATTTGATAACCAAACATCAACTACTCAATAAATGTTGTGGCATCATGTGTGTGACCAAAACAGAAAGTGATGGAAAGGTTCTTTCATACAACTTTTGGTTGGGACAAGAGAGAAATTTCTAGAACTATGCAGTAAAAACAATAATGTTCCTCAGTTATTTCTATTTATAGTGACATTTTCTAGCAAGTTGGACAAATACTCAAAATAAACTTCAACTTTGAACCTACCAAATTCCATTTGTATGCCAATAAAGCCTGAGGCTCAAAAATGCTTTTATTTTTTCAAAATAGCTTTTAGAAAATCCAGATTCTAAATATATATAGTTTCTGCTAATGTACAAATACTCTTTCATATGGTGAGATCATGGTTCTAATGATAACTGTATTAGTTTATAATGAATTGTTAAAACGTGTAAAGGTGAAAACATTTGTAAAGTAACAACATGATCCTTAAAATACCATTTGATTCACAAATAGTATTATTGCTTAATTATTTGTTAATTAAAACAACAATCCTTTTGACTGTTCACATACATAATCCTGTTGCCTTTATGGAAACAGCTTATTATAAAGGGCAACAGCAAATGCTTTATGAAGTTTAGGTCAATGTAAAGCTTCTCAAACCACTTAATCATCAGTTAAATGAGATAAATGATTCACAAAACACAAATTTGACATTTCTGAAATTCTTTTAATCCAAATACTGTAAAAATGCAAAGCAAGGTAAGCCATACTGTAGCTGTGTCTTGCTTTCTGCATTAGCTAGAACTTGGATGGATGTGCGCAGATCTCTCCGTATCAGTTCAGCCTTTCTTTAGCAGCAGGTGAATTTACCGAGTTGCTGCACCTTATTTATGGAGCAAGCAGAAGCCCACTTCTGCACCGTCGGACCTCCGGCTCCGTCTTTGGTCTCTGATCACCTGATTCCTTCCTCCATTCCTACTTGTCTGTCACTGCTGCCTCAGTCATCCCTCCCAGGAATACCCTTTCTCCTGAAGGCCACAAGGTGTGCTCCTTCTGTCTGGGTCGCTGCCCAAACGCCACCTTCTCAGAGGGGCTGTTTCGCTCCATTCCACCACCGCCTTACCTCCCTATGGTCACGGTGCCTGCTTATTTTTCTTTGCGGCATTTATTACCACTGGTTTGTTATATATTTGTTTACTGTTTTCTCCTGACAACATGAGCTCCATGAGGTCCGGGCTGATGTATCCCCGGTATGTGGGCAGAGCCATGGCTCCGTAGGTTCCATGTCTGCCTGTGTTACGTGTAAAGCAAAAGACAAGAACCACCTCCATGCCTGTGCATTGGCATGCTGTTCTTAGGGCATATGGTGCTAGGCTGTCTTCATGGTAGCCTAAATGTGCCTAATTATCTTCTCCTAGTTTCCAATTCAAATGTACCACATAAAGTACATGTTTATAATGTTAACAGAGTGATACACTGGCATATACCTTTAAGTTAAATTCTATAAAAATCCACTATCCACTAATCATATTAACAAATTCATAGAATGTTCTCTTGTCATCCAGGGCCCTACGATGATACATCAACCACTTTTGCTGCCACCTGTCAAAACTTTGGATGAACCTACTTTCAGGTATTGCATACCTTACAAAAGAATATTCATAATCTAATGAGAGTACTATGCTGGATTTCCAATAAAGTTAAGGATATTTAGAACATTTTAGTGAGAATAAGAAAAATTCCATGAATGGTATGTAGTTAAATTCAGAATGAAGGAGATCTTTAAAGTCTCTCCAACAAAATAATAGCATTGAATTATGCACATATATCAGTGTTCAGAAATCATTTCCTTGGGGCCTTGACTAGTGCCGTGTTTTTCTCCACATTTTTACTAATAGTGTTAAATTATATTGGATATATACTACCTGGTTTGTATAGGTACTCATTGCTAATTGATTGACATTGCCACAGACCTCATGCATATGTATATATGTAAACATACACACATAATTATGTTTAATGTGTAATAGGTCTAGATTATTCACTGCACCACATACACAGAGTCACTATTACACTTCTACAAATGGATATATATTTTTCTTTTCCTTTCTTTCCTTTTCTTAATTTATTTGACACATTGTCTCACTGTGCAGCTCAGACTTGTAGTTATCCTCCTGTCTGTGCTTCCCCAGGGTTGGGATTACAGGTGTGCACCACCGTGCTGGGTCGCAGTGGCTGAATCAGTGTGCCGGGGATAGGCTTGGCATGGCATGCGCTGCTGGGGATCAAACCCCGGTTCCTGCACTTGCCTAAGAGTTATAAATTTTTCTCTTAACTGGAACCCAAGTGTGAAACCTTTTTGTCTAAATATAGAAAGAGGAAAATGGAAAAGTAAATTGTTTTAAAAGTCCAACACATTCTAGATACTATTTTTAGGACACCCTAGCAAAAGAATTTCAATTACAGTCTGTACCTTAACAGGTTTTAGGGTCCTTAGTGCTTCCAAAAAGTACTGCAGACCGATTTTTCTTCTTAGCTATATTTGGCCTTCAGTGCCATGGTAAATACAATGTTAATGATGCAGGTTTATCATACATCATTGCCCTTTTCCTTACAAAATGAGAGTTCCGGCCTTTAGTTATTTTTAGACTTAAGAGTGCTCAACAACACAATAACTTATCTTCCTCCTAAACAGTAATAATACTAATGAAAATCAAGCTTACTAAGCTATTTGTCTTCCACTGACAACCTTGTGACACAATTTCTCAGTCTGGACTTGCACTGTGATTTTTTACATTCAAAAGTTATGCGGCTGGAACCAAAAATAGGCACTCTGGGATTGCTCTTTGTCCCACAGAACCCTTTGGAAACTCCTCGCTGTTGTTCTCTTCTTGTGTGTCAGCTTCCTTCACACATCACGTTTCACGTGACTCATTATTCCACAGAGCGAGGGCTGGGTGCTCAACATGTCTATTTGCATCTGACAACTGGACTTTCTTCCCGGACGTTTTTGAGTGCAATGTAGGGCCAGTTGACTTTTATGAGGCCCAAAGTGGCTTCATGAAGATACATAGGAAGGAGCATGTAATGGAGGAAACTTCACTTACTGTGGAAAAGACTGCTTTGTGCCTCCCACTGTGTAAGAGCTTCACACGGAAACCAAAACTGACCATATCTTAGAGCAGCTCCCCAGGTGTGAGCTGTAACACATCTGACAGTTTGAAAGAGGTGAGTTGGAAGTGGACTAGAAAGGGAAGGCATAAATTTGATCTGCTTTCTCTTGATTAGCACTGATAAGATGTTTGGTGAGGCCAGTGGATTAAAACGCCTGCAAGCACACCCAGGGGCCGGATCCCTGGGCCTGCCTACTAGGCCTGCTGAGACAGTGAGGGCGTGGTGGTGCACGCTGGTAATCCCAGGTTTTGGGAAGCTGCAAAGAGGCGGATCACTATGAGTCTAATCTAGTAGTGAGACACTGAACACCCTGTAGACCCTTCCCTAAAACACACACACACACACACACACACACACACACACACACAAGATGTTTGGTTAAAAGGTAATTGCTGCCTCTGTGATTCTTCAAATTATATTTGCAACTATTCTAACATAAAAATAGGTTAAATAGGTTAAATTCTAAAAGGGTGGCTAAAAATGCGTCTGAAAACTATGATCAGCTTTGTAGCTAGCAGTTGGAACCACATGTGCTTTACGTAACTGAAAGGAGTACAAGACTGAGACTGCGAAGAGGGGAGCTCCTGTTCTTAGCTCCAGTGCTCCGGGCTCTGGAAGCCCTCCTTATGCCTTACTTCTAAGTCTGTAAAAGGAACCAATTAGACAACAGGTTTTCTCAGAGCCCCTCCAGATCTTTAGAGCCTGCACTGCCTGACTGTACTGCTCCGAAGTAAAGATTCCAGCTGGAAGTAAAATAGCATCTGAAGTTCTTTCTAACCTGATTTACAATAGTTTAATTCTTCTAATGCTGAATATTTTTACAGTGCTTTATTTGCATAATCATTGAGTCAATTCTAAAATGTGGCAGATGGGTAAGAGGTGGAAAACATTAAATAAATAAATAAATAAATAAATAAATAAATAAATAAATGGAATGTCTCTGGCTAGATTGAATTTTGACCAAAGAGGAATTTATTCTTTCTTTCTATCTTTCTTTCTTTCTTTCTTTCTTTCTTTCTTTCTTTCTTTCTTTCTTTCTTTCTTTCTTCCTTCCTTCCTTCCTTCCTTTCTTTCTTTCTTCCTTTCTTCTTTCTTTCTTTCTTTCTTTCTTTCTTTTTTTCCTACTTCCAATGTATTTAGTACAGGGTCTACTGAGTCTCACCACACAGATCGGACTCAGTGATCCTGCCATTTTCAGCCTCCCAAATGCTGAGATTATAGGCATGAGCTGCCATGCCCAGTCTCAATCACTGGCTCAGTGCACTCTGGGGGCAGGGCCAGCACAGCATGCTGGGGGTCGAACTCTGGTCCCTGAGCCTGTCTAAGCAGGTGCTTTAGTCCACTGAACTATCTGGCTTGCCCTTATCACTGAAGTTTAGTTAACTTGCCGAATTTTCTTTCTTACTCTAAGATAGCAAAGATAAGTTTTCTAATAAGTTTCCAATTATGGATAGGTCTCTTTTACATTTAAACCTTATTCCAATTTAAATGGAAATCTGATAAATCTGTCCTAAAACTAAGGACAGTTAAATGATGAGAAATTTCATCCTTTCCATTATTGATTTGAAATTCAGTTAAATTATTTAGATTGTTAACTCCATTAATTTTGTCATATATTATGTTAAACTCTATCATTATGTCTCAGTTTGTGTTAAACTTCTAAAATACTTTCAGGACCATTTGAGCATATTTATAAACTTTTGTTTTGCATCTGTTAATACAAATGTTAATTTATGATGTTTGTCTATATAGGAACTCTGTATTTTCTTCCAAAAGACTTTGTATGGTGAGGCAAGTACCTAGTTGGTCCTTGAAGGTTGAGTGACACTCATAACAGGCAGTGAACCATAGAATTTGGTAGAGAATCAAGAGTGGACGATTTGGTTAGAGCACTGGGAAATAAGCTAAATACAAAACAGTGGGCAGAGCACTTTGGCTTACATAAAACCTCTCCAAAGCCCTGAATTCAAATTTGATACCTATGAGCTAGGGAGATAGCTCAGTAGAATAAGAACCTGCCTGGCAAGCGCAAGTACCTGAGGTCAATCTCCCATTCTGGGAGGGAAAAAAATGATAGCTGTAATTTTGTGCTGTTCTTAAAGAGGATGCCTAGCAGTGGCTTTCTTGGTGTCTGGTCCAAGACCACAGGGCATAACTCCTCCAGTTATCAGGAATTTGACCCCCATAGTTCATCTGGTAAAAGGGTCTGGGGTGTGTGAACGGAGCTTGGGCACCCAGGTAGGCAGCGCCCTGGCCAGCCACTCTGACCTGATTTGTTTCTCTTCTCTCCTGCTACCTAAACTTTTGACCTAGATGTATCACATAAATAGATTCCAGTGGGGTTGATGTCAATTTAGAAACATAGCACAAATTCTCTTTAAAACATGCCTTTTTCATCTCATTAAATGCTGTGTTGCTAATAATAAAATTTTACTTATGTTTAAGATAAATTATGTGTCAAAACCAGTAACAACTGCATTGCATTTGAGAGCCAAGCTGCCTGGTTTACTTTTAAAATGACATCTTTATAATTACTTGCTTAAGGCAATAAATCTACCATCTCTGTTTCCTCATAAGTGAACTTGAGTTAATCATAATGCTTACCTTGTTTTTATATTATAATCATAGCCTGAAATGTTAATCTTATTTTTCATGCATTATATCAGCAAATCATTTATTATGTGCCATTTACACTTCTAGTCCTGGTGGATATACTATACACAAGTAGAAGGAGTAGAGGTACAACTAATTAATTAATCCTTAGGTCTAGGCCAAGAATTTAGTAAGTCCTTCAAAAGTGATAGCTACTGCTATTATCAGGATTACTACCACTAACAATAAAGAAATATGGGAATATTTTTATAAAACATTCATCTTTGACCATTTGGAGAGAAAAATTAATGTACGTAGCTATTTTGCTGCAGAGAAGTTTTAAAACAAAGATTTTAATACATGATTAGAAGCAGCTTATGTAGTAGCAATGTCAACAGCCACATAGGAAAATGCATGCCTCCCAGTACTGTAGATCGCAACATGGCACTGTTCAACTAGCGAACGTCTTTCTTCTTCTGGGTCTACTCTGCTTTTTATTCCTACTCTTTATGTATCACGAGTTTTTCTCACTTTCTTTCAAGGAATTGCTTAAAATAACTTGTTACATAAAATTGCCCCTTAACAGAATAAAATTCTGTGAAGGAATCATTGGTAGCGATTGGAATATAGCTTCAGGGGAGACAGTACGATTTCTCTCTGTCAGGAGGAATGGGTTCAGTTGTTTTAATGAATGTGACAGGAATTAAACAGTGCATCCATTTATGTGTCGTTGAAAGCACTTAACGGCATGCTCCTACAGTTACAGTTTAAAATGTCAACATTAAAAATTTGTCAAAAATGACATGCTTTACAATTGAGCTGTCAATTGAAATGAGAAAAGTTCTTCCAAAATTATTTTATACTGTC